TGCTGCCATCATAGTGCGGCCCAGGATGGTGGCCCAGACCCCAGCAAGTCTTCCTCTGGCAGCCTATACATGCACACCAGGGGCTACTGACTCCTGGCCTTGACTGTACTCTGCTATGCACACCTCCCCTCCCCAGAGTCAGGGTCAGGGACTGGCTCTATCTCCTCTTTGTGTGTTTTTTTAAAGTATATTTTTATTGATTTTAGAGAGAGAGGAAGGGAGAGTGAGAGATAGCAACATCAATGATGAGAATCATCAGTCGGCTGCTTCCTGCATGCCCCCTGCTGGGGAACAAGCCCGAAACCCAGGCATGTTCCCTGACTGGGAATCAAACTGGGACTTCCTCCTGGTGCATAGGTCGATGCTCAACCGCCTAATCACACTGGCCAGGCTTTCATCTCTTCTTTCCCCTAGCAACCAATGTGGCTACTTTACATGGTGGAGATCTATTCTGGCCGCTTTCTCACAGCTGGCCTCAAGTGGTATCTGATGCATATTTCCTTCCAAAATCCCAGGATAGAGTATGTAACGGTGACTCCAGAAGGATTCCGGTACCGGGGCCAAATCTTCCCAACTGTGAATGGACTTTTCAGATGGTTTAAGGATCATTACCAGGATCCTGTACCAGGTGAGTTACGCTCTCTGACTTCTGGGCTGTGGTTGGAGGGACACCTAGGCTTTGAACCAAGGTATCACTAACTAGCCTTCTGTGGAAGGGGGTGAGGTACAGGCTGTCATTGCATCTCTCTTACTCCTACTCCAACCTCCTTAGCATCAGGAAGTTCCTGCATATACTTGCCTATGTAGCTTCCTTTTTTCTTGTACCTTTTTCAGTCCCCTGAATTATAAAACCAGAAACATAACTGACTCTCCCTATTTTTTATAGGAATCACCCCCAGTAGCAGCAGCAGGACCCGAACACCTGCTTCTATCAATGCTACCCCAGCTAACATCAACCTTGCAGGTAAGGAGCTCACATCTAGGACTGTGACTCAGAGCGATAAAGCTGGGACTTTCACCTCTAATGTGCCCATCTTCCACCACTTTGTGCTTACAGATCTGACACGAGCCGTGAATGCCCTGCCCCAGAACATGACCTCACAGATGTTCAGTGCCATTGCTGCTGTGACAGGCCAAGGACAGAACCCAAATGCCACCCCAGCCCAGTGGGCCTCTAGCCAGTATGGCTACGGCGGCAGTGGAGGGGGCAGCAGCGCTTACCATGTACGTGGCTTGGAGAGGAAGCTCTCTGTGGAGGGTGGGGAAGAGTGAAAGGAGACAGTCATCCTTTACCAACCTATGTCCATGGACTGGCCATTGGCAGTGTCCACCGTTACATGCACAGATGGGCCTTAGGAACTGAACCCAACAGATGTTCCTTTTCCTTAGGCCCATTTCAAGGGAAAGGGAGTAAGAGAAGGTCTGACCTTTCTACAGACTCCTTTGAGATCTTTAAAATCCTCAGGCCACTAGAAACCACAGGTGGTCAGGACCCAGAGGCCCTATTGTTGTGTCTGGTCCCACCCCATTGGCCTCTCTGCTGCTCAGGAGGAGGTCATCAGGAAAGCTCTGTACTGTCCCCAAATTTCTAACTTTCCAGAAATTCATAGGAAGGCTAAATATGCCCCAAATCCATCCCCATTTAACTGTTCACCCTTCTTCAGGTGTTCCCAACGCCAGCCCAACAGCCAGTGGCCACACCACTAATGACCCCCAGCTACTCTTACACGACCCCGAGCCAGCCTATCACCACACCACAGTACCACCAGCTACAGGCTAGCACCACCCCACAGTCTGCCCAGGCCCAGCCCCAGCCCTCCTCCAGCTCTCGGCAACGGCAGCAGCAGCCAAAGTAAGTATATGAGTGGTGGCATGGAGCAGGTTATTAGTAGGGGCAGGTGCTATCAGGCCAAAGGGCTTAGCATAGGCAAGTGCTCTGGATCTTCTGAGAGCCATTACCCAGGTGATACTTCCATGAGGACAGCTTTTTGGGAGGTGAAAGAAGAGGGCAGTGTGGCAGTTGGCCACGGCTACTGCCCATAGGTATAAGGTCCATTTCTGCAAGGGTATATGTTCACCAGTGACTGGCGGGAAGGCTTCCTTCTAGTGATCACGTCTCTGAAGAGCTCAATCTAAAAGGCCCCTTCTTCTCCCTCCCAGGTCCAACAGCCACGCAGCCATCGACTGGGGGAAGATGGCAGAGCAGTGGCTTCAGGAGAAGGAGGCAGAGCGGCGGAAACAGAAGCAGCGGCTGACACCTCGACCATCCCCCAGCCCTATGATAGAAAGCACCCCCATGTCTATTGCTGGCGATGCCACCCCACTCTTGGACGAGATGGATCGGTAGGGGGCCTGCTCCTAGGACTCTGGTTACCTCTGAGGCTAGGAGAGGCCTGCCTCATTCCCTGCCCCTCCTTTTCTGTCCATAAAGTGGCGTGAATTGACGTTCTCCTTTGGTGGTCAGCCTGGATGGGTGACAGGCTGAATGGCCTTGCGAACTTGAGCTCAGTGTACGCTAGGCGACAATTCTCCCATTCCAGGCCCTCACCGACCACCTCTCCTGGGACCAGGCTGGGAAGGGAGTGTGGCAGGGAGGAAGAAGAGGAAGATGAGAATGAGAGTGGAACAGTTTTGTACTCTACTCCCCTACAAGCCATTTTGAGCTGCTGCCCTTACCTGACTCTGGGCTGTGACCGGGCAGCAAGCTCAGCACATGAGTCTCCCCAGCTCTCATGGGGAGACAGATGCTATTTATTCAGTTTGGGGCAGGAGGGAAAGAAGGGGAAGTATTTCTGACCTTGATGCCAACAACTTCGGTGGCTATTAAAGCAGGATTGCAGGGGACATAGGGTTGCAGTGCTAACCTGCCTAGGCCCCTCCTGGCCACCCTCACCCACCTGCTGCCACCGCTGCTTCCTGCCTGTCATTTGAATAAACAGTGTTTCTACAGAGCACTTGGCAAAACCTCTCTCCCCCTCTCTGGCTCTTGTGGGGTGGCGTTCAGTGTTTGGGGCTCTGAGGGCTCCTCGACTCCTCCAGGCCATCAGAGGCAGTGACTCAGAAAAGCAGGCAGCTTCTGCAACAGATTGCCTGGTATCACATTCCTGTTCCACCTCCCAGCCCTGTGACCTTGAGTGCACTCCTATTATCTGTAAACCAGCTTATCTGTAAACTAGAGATGGTGATACCCGTCTCATCAGGGCATCTGTGAGGACAGATACAGTGTGAAGTGCTTGGCCCAATGCTTGGGACCTCATAAGGCCTCAGTAAGTGTTAGCTGCTATTATTTCCACTCACAAACAGCCACTGCCATCCACTGTGCCTACTACAAATGGTCCCCAACTTAACAATGGTTTAATTTTTTTCCACTTTACTATGGTTTAAAAGCTAGATACATTCAGTAGAAACTGTACTTCCAATTTTTAATTTTACTCTTTTCCCAGGCCAGCAATATGCAGTAGGATACTCTTTGTGATGCTGGGCAGCAGCAGCAACAAGCCAAAGCTCCCTGGCAGGCACACAATCACCAGGGTAAACAACACACTCTGCAGTGTGCTCATCTTGTTAGATGCTTTTGCCCAACTGTAGGCCAATATAAGTGTTCTGAGCACATTTAAAGTAGACTGGACTAAGTTGTGGTGTTTGGGTGTGTGAAATGCATTTTCACCTAAGGATGTTTCCAACTTAAAGTGGGTTTATCAGGACGTAAACCATAAGTTGAGAAGCACCTGTGGACTTCTTTGGCACATTTGAGAAAGGCCACAAGTAAATCTGGGTGTCTCACCTTGAGCCCCTGCCCCCTCTCCCTTTTGCCAGCTGGGCCTTAGTCTCGGACAGTATTTCTACACCAGCCAAGTGTGTCTGACCCAGGGTGGGCCCTGTACTTACCTGCTACACACATAGACTGGCCTTGGAAAAGTGAGCTGGGCTGTTGCAGGGCAGTCCAGTCCCCTCACTGCCTTTTATTCTGGACTCCTGATCTCCCTGTGTTTCTTCGCAAGGGTTTTGTCTCATAGCTCTGAGTCGGGGCTGGGAAAGTGAGACTTTCCCATTCCCTTTCCTCTGCTTGACACTCAGCAGAGAAGTCAAAAAGACCACTGCTGCCCAGAGTTAGTGAGTTCCCTTCCTTGCTTTCTTTAAAATGTTTGTATTGATTTTATTCATTTTTTAAATATACCTTTATTGATTTCAGAGAGAGGAAGGGAGAGGGAGAGAGAGAGAAACATCAATGATAAAAGAGTAATTTATTGGCTGCCTCCTGCACACCCCCAACAGGATGGAACCGGCAACCTGGGCATGTGCCCCAACTGGGAATCAAACCGTGATCTCCCGGATCCTAGGTCGATGCCCAGCTGCTGAGCTATGCCCAGCAGAGCTGTATTGATTTTAGAGGGAGAGGGGGAGAGAGCAAAATATCTATTGGCTGCCTCCTACATGCCCCCCAGTGGGGAATCAAGCCCGGAATCCAGGCATATGCCCTGACCAGGGATCAAACTGGCGACCTCGGTGCATGAGATGACATTTAACCAACTGAGCCACACAGGCCAGGGCCCTTTCTTGCTTTTCTTCAAGATATCTGGCTTTTGGCAAGAGTGAGGGGGAAAGAGAGAGGGGCTGGCCTTCTGTGGAGAACTCAGTTCAGTTCCCTTTAGCACAAAAGGTCTAGAAGGGCCCAGCTGGGCGTAGCTAAGCAGTTAAGCATTGACCTAGGATCCAGGAGATCGTGGTTCGATTCCTAGTCAGGGCACATGCCCAGGTTACGGGCTCAATCCCCAGTCAGGGGTGTGCAGGACACAGCCAATCAATGACACTCTCATTGATATTTCTATCGCTCTCTCCCCCTTTCCCTTCCTCTCTCTGAAATCAATAAAGATATATTTTTTAAAAAGTCTAGAAGGTCCTAGTAGAAGTAGGACCACCCAGCTGGTAAGACCATGTTCCCTTTGGTGCTACCAGCACCTTCTCCAGGGCCACTTAAAGGAGGGTTAGGGCAGGCATAGTGGCAGAGGTTAAAAGGTTGTTTATTAGGGGTGTCATTACAGACAGTCTAGCCTGTCTCAGAGTGGATTTAACACAGACCAGTCTCCCAGTAGATGAGAAGCCTCCTTCCCTCCCCACCCAGATGTACTCTTCTGCTCTGGGCCTAGGATGTTACAGAGAAACCAGCTGTTACAGTGCCCCTCCCCTGCCCTCCCACCTACCTTCCCATGGACTTCCTCTTGAAAGATGAACTGCCCTTTAGAAACCCCTGCAGCCCCCTAGCCCCTTTGCTCCAGCTATGCCCAGAGCCCACCCCCTTCCCCCAGAAGTAGCCAAGTTGGAGGGGGAGAGAACAGCAGGGGATCAGCTACAGGCTTGATGGCATTTATTCTTCACCCTGTCCTCAACTGAGATTGGGGTTTGATACTGGGGGAGATTTCCTCTTGTTGACCTTCTTGATTGGAGAGGGCTTTGCCCCAGGTTTCTTGGCCTGGACGGTGTTCTTCTCTCTCTTTTTGGGCGATGAAGACTCCACAATATCCTCGCTGGAAGGCTCTTCCCGCCTGGGGTCATTGAAACTGTCCTCACTCTCCAGGTCTTCCTGGCTATCTGGGCTGGACTCTGACATCCTGGGCAACTCCCTTGGGCTTATTGATCTGGTCAAGTCTGGAGGTGAAGATGCCGATTTAACTGGGCTTTTCTTTTTAGTCAACTTGCCCTTCTTGACTTTTTTCTTCAGCTTTGCCTTCTCGTCTGTCTCCTCCTCCTTATCTTTCTCTTTTTCCTTTTTCTTCTTGACCTTCTTGATAACCTTGCTGCCCTGGGACTTCCCTGTGGGACTCTCAGAGCGCCAGATGGTAATGGGAGCCGCGGAGTCAGGGGTGCCCGTGATGGTGCCCATTCCTATGCCTGTGTCAGTAGGTGTGGTGGCGGTAGGCCCCACCTGGGTTGGGATGGGAGGCTTGCTTTCTTCCTCCTCCTCCTCCTCTTCTTCATTTAGGTCATCTGCTCTACACTCATGGTGGATGGGATGGTGGATCACTGCCACAGAGACAGGCCTGTAGCTTTTGCACCTGGGAGGGAGGAGGATAGGGAAAGAAGGTTGACAGAGAGTGAGGGCCAATGCCCCATAGTGCCCCCATCAGCCTGCCAGCACTCACCAGCCATACCAGAACCGCTCCACACACTCTTCCTCTGGGATGAGCGCAAAGCAAGGGGTCTGGATGATGTTGAAACAGGTTGAGCTCACATCTCGGGAACAGGTTGGGCCTACATCTTGGGAGCTGCTGCTATTTGTCGTCTCTGAGCAGTCCTTCACCCTGCCACATGGAACTCAGCCTGGCTCCCACGCCTCCCGGACTCCCCAGGGGCCCAGAGCCAGAAGCCTGAAGAACAGTGGGCTTTCCCACCAGGCTGCCAAAAGACCTCCTCCCCATTGCTCTTGGAGGAGAGCCAGGTTTACAAAGCTGGGGCTGGGCTGGCAGCACCTAGTCAAAGCTAAAGGAGGGAACCGCAGTGAAAGTGTGGACCTGGCTCTGCCCAGGACTCTCCTGGGCTGTGGATCTCCTGAGGAGGGGGTGTCCTTACCTAGAATCACAGTCGCAGTGGCTGACCGAGTGCAGGTGCAGGTTGTGGTGACCACAGTCAGGCGCGAAGGGGTGGATGATATGACCAGTGCACTGCTTGTGTTTCCAGTAGCACCTGTCAGTGTCCTTGAAATCACCTAAGGGGTAGGAGTGTGGGTCATACAGGGCCGCAGCAGCAGCACATCTGTGGGTTTCCTCCCACAGCTCAGTCCACAAGCTTCACCAAATTTACCTGCCACCCCCACTCCCACTTCTGCCAAGCTGTTTCTACTTCATAGTAATAATTCAGCCCAGTAGTAACTCCAGGTCTCAGCACTCGGCTTTCCCCAATCCACTGCATGAATCTGCCTGCCCTCTGCACACTCCCAGAAAAATGTCTCCAAGGTCCTCACCAAATCCCCCTTGTTGTCCTGTGACACCTGCCCCTTCCCCTCCCCTGCCTTCCATGGGAGCCTGTCCTCCTGGGGCCCTCCACTGACTCCTGCTGATCTCTCACCCAGCTGCTGGGAGTTGTCAGCTACCTCGCTCCACAGGGTGCCTAGTAGGGGACGGCCCTCTTGCCATGGCAGACTGTGGAGTGCCGCTTAAGAGTCCCCAGCAACTGAGCCAGCAACAACATTTTCAGTTCCTATGCTTGCCCTGCATAGGCCTAGGAGGACTTCATCCGACCCCTCACAGCCTCTCAAGCCATTCCTGCCTCAAGGCCTGCTTCATCATGGTAGCTTAAGCCAGGAGGAGAGCTAAGACCTAACCTACCACACACCATGCCCCTTGGCTTCTCCTCCTGACTCTGGTCCTTCCCTTTTCCCTCCTCTCTCCTCCTCCAAGCCCTGTCTCTCTTCAGACACTTTTCTCACTTCTCTCCCCTTTCCCATGCTCACTCTTGATTCTTTCCCTTTTTTTTAAATCCTCACCTGAGGATATTTTTTCCATTGCTTTTTAGAGAGAGAGAGAACATCGATTGGTTGCCTCTGCACGCACCCCAACCAGGGCTGGGGATTGAGCGTGCAACTGAGGTATGTGCCATTGGTTGGAATCAATCCCAGGACCCTTCAGTCCTCGGGCCGACACTCTAACCACTGAGGGAAACTGGCTAGGGCTTTCCCTGCTCTTTAGTCATCAAATTCCCACTCCTCCATTCTCTCGCCCCAGTCCTCAGAGCCACAGACTTGAAAAACCCACTCCCAGCCTGAGTCCTTCTACCCCTTGTAGTTAGCACACATACCATGTCCCCTTTCCCAGTGCACAGAGAAGCTGCTGGGGTGAGAATTTGGGATTAGGGGAAAGCCCTGGAGAAAGATTCCCACCTCTTTTACTCAACTGAATATAAGTCCTAGACACACTGCCTCACCTCTGACTCAGATGTCTAAGGCTCCAGTCTACCAATGGGTCTCCCCTCCAGCCACCCTCTAAAAGGTAAGCCCCTGAAGTGACCTCGTGCCCAGGATCTCACACACCAGGGCAGAGAGGACAAGGCACCTTCCTGCAGGTTCCCCCTGGACTCTGGCTCCACCCACCTTGGGAAGAGAAGTGGGCAAGCACCAGTGACTTCCATGGCAGTCTGGCATGGGGTGCTATGGCTGGCTAACCCTCCAAACAGGCCAGGAGGGTTGCACCTTTATCCAGCCCCTACAAGGTGTGGAACTGAGGCAAGACCTCATATAACCCAGGCTGGGGGGCTGTTAGTCCATGTGGCCTTAAAATACTTGAGAGATGAGTATACATCAGCTTGGTCTGAGCCTTGTCCCCACATTCTTCCCTTCCCCCTACCAGGCTGTGAGGGTCCCAGGTCCCCCATACACCCTTGACCCATTTGGTAGCCTCTGTTTCTGCTTCCTCTAGTCTTGCTCTTCATGAGCATGTGAGGTAGGACCTGGAATGCCAACACCTCCTCAGCTTTCTTCAGCACTAATGAATTGGGGCAAAGGGCAGCATAGTGGCAAGTGTCCTAAACCTGAGTTAGATAGGTCTGAGTCCAAGTGTTGGCTGTCACTAGCTGGGTGACTAAGAACCAGTTACTTCACTCCTCTGAGCCTTCATTTTCTTGCCCACAAAATGGGGATGGTGGTAATACCTATTTTGCAGGGTTGTTGGGAGGACTCAGTTCACATGTCAAAGATACTTGTGCACCATAAAGTGTTATATAAAGGGTGACTGTGGTCTCCAGAAAGGGGCCCTCCCTGGCATGAGTAGGGGATGGGGTAGGGGTGGGCAGCAGGGTAACCCCTTCAGGACCAACACTTCCCTCCCTCCTGCCTACCACCAGGTGTCAGCTTTCCCAAGTTATAGAGGTAGTGGGGACCCCTGGGGCCAGAGATTGCCCTGGACCCACCTTCAGAGGACAAGGTAGATGCATCAGTGCTAGACGCCACACCAGCCAGCAGATGTCCTCTTTCCCAGCTGGGTAGCCTGTTTACATCTGAGAGAGAACAGAGTAGCAGCAGCAGCATCCCCTCCCCATGCCATTCATTCATCAAACATTTTCTGAGATACCCCAGGTGTCAGGCCCCAGCTGCATTCAAGATTCAGAGATTTTAATCACACAAAAAAATAGGCCCTGCTTTCAAGGGGCTGGGAGAGGGTTTGAGAGAAGCGCAGGGGAGGTGTGTGGAACAGTTCATGACAGTGGTGTGATGCAGACACTGATACAGAGGGAAATGGGAAGAGGCCTGTGGAAGCAGAAAACAAAGACACCTACTAAGATGGTGGGGGTGTAGGATGAGATTAGGAAAGTCTTCTTGGAAGAAGCATAACAGGTGCTGAATCTGGAGAAATAATAGGAGTGAGCCAGTCTAGGCAAGGAGGGACAGTTCCAGGAGTTGTCACAGTGTGTGTGGAGCCAGGTCAGAAGTTGTCTCCCAGCAGAGCTCCAAGTGGGACAGTAGCTGCACCAACAACCACTGGGTGGAGTCTAAACTTTTCTTCCCACAATTAATTTTGTCCTTTGGGGCATCAGGGGCTGAGTTCTGATTAAGGAAAGGAAGCTGATTCCTTGGGGACTTCAGCTGGGCCTTCAGTGGCATCTTTCTACAGTTCCTTGGTCAGCTCCTCTTTTCCACAGCACAGTAAGGACTCAAATTTTATTGAATGTTTGAATAAAACTTCAAACATTTTCCTGGAAACTCCTAACCTGCTGCTGTTCCTCTCAGCAGCCTTATCTGTGGCTGCTCCCACCCTCACCAGCTCTCCTCCAACCTGGGGAAGTGTCCCTCCTTCCTCCTGCCCAAAGCTCCTGAAATCTAGGTCCCAGCCAGAATTCTCACCTTCTCCTTTAATGGTTGGTTTTTCCCCTACAAGCTGTGAACACCTTTAAACAAGCACTCTACGAACCCTGTTTCTCCCTCTACATTGCATATCCCACCCCTCTTCCTTTTCAATCCAAGTTTATTCACTCATTTAACAGACATATCGGATAGCTTTACTAGACACCGGTGAAGGAGGCACAGTCCCTACCTTCAGTGAGCTCAGAATCTTCACCTCTGTCTCTATTCCAGTGACCTACACATGGCAGCCACCCCAGCCCCTCTATCAGATTAGCCCAGTCAAAGGCTATCAACAATTTCCCAAAAGCCAAACCCAGAGGCCTTCTCTTCATCTTGTCTCACTTGACCCTGTTAACCAGTCAATTTCTTTCTTCTGTATGCTCTGTTCCATTGGCTTCCATGCAGACCTATCTCATTCCGCTCCTCCTCATCTGACTAGCTCTTCAGTTCTTTTGTAACTCCTCTGCTATACCCCTTAAATTGATGATTACCAGGGTTCTATCTCTGCTTTCCTCAGAATACTTTGCAAGCTTGTCTTGGACAATGTCATCCACCTCCATGGTTTCAGCTTCCACCAGTAAAATGACATAAATCTGGGTAGGTCTCCAATCCAGACTGCTCTCCTGAGCATGTAGCCAATATCCTCTTGGATGTTCCCAAACATGTTAGACCAACATGTCCCACATGAACCTACCATCTTCTCCCTACCTTCCACGAACCACCCCTTCTATATCTTCCATTTCAGAGAGCAACAAACACCACAGCTAGAAATCTAGGAGTCACCCTTTCCCTTACTTCTATACCAACTGGATGACCAAGTCTTGTGCCTATCTGCTCCCACATCTGCCTCTGCCTTGGTTCACACCCTCATTATCTCTGACCAAGACAACTGCAGTAGCCTCCTGCCTGGGCTCCTCCAACCTGGGGAAGTGTCCCTCCTTCCTCTTGCCCAAAGCACCTGAGTTCTAGGTCCCAGCCAGAATTCTCACTACCCTCATCTAGTCTCACTACCTGTGTCTCACTACCCTCATCCAATCCTCACAATGCAGCCAAACTGAGTTTTCTAGAATGGAAACTGGTCCACCATGTTCCTCTTCTTTAATAGCATTCTACTGCCTTCAGGATGATGTCCATTTCATGCCCCCACCCCAGGACCAGGGACCTGGTTCCTTTATCAGTTATCAGTTCCTCCCATTCATCCACCCCTTCTCTCTTGCCTCCCACTACCCAGAAATGCCTGCTTATCTTGGAAAGAACAATGCTATCCAAGTAGAATAGGTCACACACATGTCTTGTGCCCCTTTACCCTGCCAGGGTACCTCATGTATTTATAGAAATTTGAGAACAAGACCCATATTTCATCTGTTTCTTTTTCTACAGATCCTGGGAAATGGAAAGTACTCAGTAAGCCCTGGCTGGATAGTTCAGTTGGTTAGAGCATCATCCCTATATGCCAAGGTTCTGGTTTCGATCCTCAGTCAGGGCACATATAAGAGTCAACCAATAAATGCATAAATAAGCAGAACAACAAATCGATGTTTCTCTCTCACATCGATATTTCTCTCCCCTCCTCTCTCTAAAATAAAATCAATAAACATATCCTCAGTGAGGACTTAAAAAAAAAAAAAGTACTCAATAAATGTTGGTTGATTGAATAAATACATGAGTAGAATAGAATAAACTCCCTACTGGAGCCACAGAGAAGCTATGGCAGTGGAGATTCTGCCTAGGGTTCACACTTGGAGACTTTTCTGAGGAAAGAGAATTGACCCAAGAAGAGCTTCTTCACAGTGTCAGGCACTGTGCTGAGCATTTTTTAAAAACTATGTCTTTATTGATTTCAGAGAGAGGAAGGGAGAGAGAGAAACATCAATGATGAGTCATTGATGGCCTGCCTCCTGCACGCTCCCTACTGGGGGATCGAGCCCAAAACCTGGGCATGTACCCTGACCTGGAATTAGGTTGATGCTCAACCACTGAGCCACGCTAGTGAGATTGTGCTGAGCTTTTAAAATATGCCTTTGAGTCTAGATGCCCACCACAGCCCATTCTATGGATGAAGCCACAGAGACTTAGAATAAGTAACTTATCCAAAGACACAAGTTAATAGATGGCAGAGTAGGATCCGACCCAGTCTTCCTGGCTCCATAGTCTGTGGTCTTTCAGCCGTTTATGTGGGATTCCTATCCAAAACCTGTCCTGCCAGATGTCACTCCCTACTACACCTGCTCAACTCTAACACAGTCAATTCCTCATCCTCTGGTTTTACCCAATGCTCACTCCCACAGCCTCGCTTATCCAGCCTGGACCTCAAGTTAGTCCAGAAGGCCCTGAGCCAGGGTCAGGATTCAAACTGCTTTACCCAACTCCACTTTCCTTGCTCTCTCTAGAGTCACCAAGAAAAAGGTCTATATGCAGCCCCAATAAGCCCCGACAATCATAAATGTTTGCCAAGGGGTGCGATTTAGTAACTCCTCAAATCTGAGGGAGTCTGCTCCCTAGTTTCACAGACAGACGAGGGAGCTCCGACTGAAGAAGCAGTCCAGAGCTCCTGTAGCAGAAGTGGTTGAGGTTAGACACGGGGGGTGGGGGGTAGTTGAGGGGGGACTTCATAATGAATGGAGAGAGTGAGAGCTTGAAAGGAAGAGGGAGGCTTGTGGTCTATTTCTCGGTAGGACATTAATCAGGGCGCAGGGGCCTAACTCAAAACTCACAGGTGATGCTCATTTGTACAGAATTTTCCCAGCCCTGCGGACGAGGAGCTTCCCCCGCCCTTGCAGCACAGGCGATGGGGTTCCAGGTTGGACACCGGAGTGGATGAATGAGGAAGGGGAGGAGGGAAGGTGGGAAGAGAAAGAAAGGGAGGGAAAAACCGAGGAAGGGAAGGAGGGAAGAAGAGCAGCAAGGCAGGCGCGGTGTGCACGCGTCTCCTTGGAAATGACGCCCTGGCCCCGCCCACATCTGTAGGTGATTGTGATGTCACACGTGGAACATCCAGACTCCTTCTTGCCCTCAAAGTCAATAGAACCGCCCGCCCAAGCCCCGGAGACAGGGTGGACGCTGGACCCTGGGCTCCAGCCAGGCCCCGCACTAATCAGGCGACCGCCCGGGCCGGGGCTGCTGCACAGCGACGCCTCGCAGCCGTACAAACAGGAGTTTCAGCTCTCGCTCCAGCCAGACTGCCCCAGTCAAACCCGGAGGTTATTCTCCAGGACCCCAGTCCTCCATCATTGGTCCGCGGCTCGACGTGAGCCCGCCCCCAGGCTCTAACTCCGCCCCAGCCCAGCCCCTGGCCCCGCCTCCTTGGTCAGGCTCACAGGTGCTACGGCCTCCTCCGGGCCCACAAGCCAGCCCTCCAGCCTTCGCCGCGGGTCGGAGCCCTCCCCAAACCTTCGGCCCCGCCCTCTCCTTACCACTGCTGCTCGCATCCCAGACGTTGACCTTGTCCTCAGTCTTTTTCTTAGTCCACCTTTCAAACTTCATTGTCGTCCTGACCCACATCGCTCTCGGCTCGGTTCTTCCTCTCCACAAGCCTCTTCCACTCAGAAGTCCGACCCTGAACCTCAGCTTGGCCGAGCCAACCGTAAACCCCAATCTCAGCTTCGCCCCCTTCGAGCCCTCAACTCTGCCTCA